TTTGTATTTTTAGTAAAGACGGGGTTTCACCATGTTGGTCAGGTTGGTCTCGACCTCCTGAAGTTGGCCTCCCAAAGTGCTGGGATTATAGGCATGAGCCTTCTTCCGCTTCTAATAGACTCTACTAGTCTGGGAAATGCACCAAAAAGACAGCATGGTTAAAAGGTCAGTATTTCATGACCCTTTTTATACTTCCTATTTTTATTTTAGATAGGTTTCTTGATTGATGCAAAATGTCAATTGTAGTGGTAGGGAACTGGCATGAGGAAGCTTCCTAAACGGAGGTCTCAAGAGAGAATTGTGTTTCTTTTTTTTTTTTTTGAGACAGAGTCTGGCTCTGTCGCCGACACTGGAATGCAGTGGTACAATCTTGGCTCCCTGCAACCTCCGCCTCCCGGGTTCAAGCGATGCTCCTACCTCAGCCTCCTCAGTAGCTGGGACTACAGGCATGCACCACCATACCCACTTAAATTTTTCTATTTTAGTAGAGCTGGGGTGTCACCATGTTGCTCAGGCTGGTCTCGAACTCCTGAGCTCAGGCAATTTGCCTGCCTAGGCCTCCCGAAGTGCCTGAATTACAGGTTTGAGATACCGCGCCCGGCTCAAGAGAAAATTCTAACAGTCTTGCTAATGTTCTTGAATTAAAAGGAAAATATGGGTCAGGTGTAGTGGCTCATGCCTGTAATCCCAGCACTTTGGGAGGCCGAGGTGGGTGGATCACAAGGTCAGGGGTTCAAGACCAGCCTGGCCAAGATGGTGAAACCCTGTCTCTATCAAAAATACAAAAATTAGCTAAGCGTGGTGGTGGCCGCCTGTAATCCCAGCTATTCAGGAGACTGAGGCAGGAGAATTGCTTGAACCCAGGAGGTGGAGGTTGCAATGAACTGAGATCGTGCCATTGCACTCCAGCCTCAGTGACTGAGTGAGATTCTGTCTCAAACAAAAAAAAAAGAAAGAAAGAAAAAAAGAAAAATATGTATTTTGTACACAATACTTTTGAGTATAAAATAAGTTAACGGCCGGATGCAGTGGCTCTCATCTGTAATCCCAGTACTTTGGGAGGCCAAGGCAGGATTGTTTGAGCCCACGAGTTTTAGACCAGCCTGGGCAACATAATGAGACCCTGTCTCTTAAAAAAAAATTTTTTTTAAAGCTTTAAAAAATTCATTTTCTCTGCAAATACTGAAGGTGTTGGTGCATTGTCATCCAGCCTTCTTCTTCACTTGGCAACTGAACCATTTGATTCTCATTTCTTTGTAGGTAACCTATAGATTCCCTCTGTTTTAGAAATTTCCTCTTTCTTTCTTTCTTTTTTTTTTTTTTTTTTTTTGAGATAGAGTTTTGCCCTTGTTGCCCAGACTGAAGTGCAATGGCGAGATCTCGGCTCACTGCAACCTCTGCTTCCAGGGTTCAAGCAATTCCCCCGCCTCAGCCTCTTGAGTAGCTGAGATTACAGGCGCCTGCCACCACGCCCAGCTATTTTTTAGTAGAGACAGGTTTCGCCATGTTGGCCAGGTTGGTCTCGAACTCCTGATCTCGTGATCCACACCTTGGCCTCCCAAAGTGCTGGGATTATAGACGTGAGCCATTGTGCTTGGTGGAATTTCTTATTTCTTTTTCTTCTTGTTCTATTTATTTTTCTTTCCCTTTCTTTCTTTATTATGATTAATTTGGTGGAGCAACACCATTTATTTCCAGGACCAGCACTGGATATAACACAGTTAGTGGAAAAAAGCTGTCAGCACTAATCACTGTCACAAAAATAATCCTACCGAATCTGAAATGCCAACAAGAAGTGCAGCTCCACTGGGAAATACCTGTAAATCACAGGTCTTTCCATTTCAACTGATATGACAAAAAGTTTCAGCTTTAATTATTTACCAAATTCCTGAGCCATCTTTAAAGTCTTGTGGGTTTGTTTGTTTGTTTGCTTGTTTGCTGAGACAGGGCTTTCTTCTGTTGCCCAGGCTGGAGTACAGTGGAGCCATGATCACTCACAGCAGCCTTGACCTCCGGAGCTCAAGGGATCCTCCTACCTCAGCCTCTGGAGTTAGCTGGGACTATAGGTGTGTGCCACTACACCCGACTAATTTTTGAATTTTCAGTAGAGACAAGGTTTCCCTATGTTGCCTAGGCTGGTGCCAAACTCCTGGGCTCAAGCAATCCTCCAGCCTTGGCCTCCCAAAAGTGTTGGGTTTACAGGCATGAGCCACCTTGCTTGGCAGATTAGTGACTTGGTCACTTTTTAAAAAGATTTTAAAAGGTATGATTTATGTAGCATAAAATTCATTTATTTTAACTGTACGATTCAATGATTCTTAAAGAAGTTTTCAGGGTGGGCACAGTGGCTCACGCCTGTAGTCCCAGCACTTTGGGAGGCTGAGGTGGATGGATCACTTAACGTCAGGAGTTTGAGACAAACCTAACCAATATGGTGAAATCCCGTCTCTGCTAAAAATACAAAAATTAGCTGGGCATGGTGGCATGCACCTGTAATCCCAGCTACTTGGGAGGCTGAGGCAGGAGAATTGCTTGAACCTGGGAGGCAAAGGTTGCAGTGAGCCAAGATTGCATCACTCCACTCCACTACATCCTGGGCGACAGAACAAGACTCTGTCTCAAAAAAAAAATTTTTGGCCGGGCGCGGTGGCTCACGCCTGTAATCCCAGCACTTTGGGAGGCCGAGGCGGGCGGATCACAAGGTCAGGAGATCGAGACCATGGTGAAACCCCGTCTCTACAAAAAATAGAAAAAATTAGCCGGGCGCGGTGGCAGGCGCCTGTAGTCCCAGCTACTTGGGAGGCTGAGGCAGGAGAATGGCGTGAACCCGGGAGGCGGAGCTTGCAGTGAGCCGAGATTGCGCCACTGCACTCCAGCCTGGGCGACAGAGCTAGACTCCGTCTCAAAAAAAAAAAAAAAAAAAAAAATTTTATCAGCCAGGTAGGGTGGCTCACGCCTGTAATCCCAGCACTTCGGGAAGCCGAGGCAGGCGCATCGCTTGAGGTCAGGAACGAAACCAACCTGGATAACATGGCAAAACCCTGTATCTACTAAAAATACAAAAATTAGCCGGGGCTGGTGGCATGCGCCTGGAATCCCAGCTACTGGGGAGGCTGAGGCAGGAGAATCGCTGGAACCTGGGAGGCAGAGGTTGCGGTGAGCTGAGATCCTGCCACTGCACTCTAGCCTGGGCAACAAAGTGAGACTCTGTCTCAAAACAAACCGATCAAACAAAAACATTATTATTCGTCAGAAGCCTCTTCATCACCTGGAACCTTGTGGACATCAGTTATCCTTGGTAACTTCCCTTCCACAACACCATTGTTATTGGCTGCTATGGTCTGAATGTGTTCCCCCAAATGCATGTCCTGAAACTTCATGGGAATGCGATAGTACTGAGAGGAGGGGCCTTTAGGAGACGATTAAGTCAGAAGAGCAGAGTCCCCATTATGGGATTAGGACTCTTATAAAAGGGATTCGGAGAGTGGCTCCCTTTTTTACCATGTGAGGACGCCTCGTTGGTGCTATCTGTGAGGAACGGGCGGTCCTCAGACATGGAACCTGCTGCGACCTTGATCTTGGACCTCCCAGCTTCCAGAACTCCGAGAACATACATTTCTGTTGTTAATAAATTGCCCAGTCTCAAGTACTTTGTTACAGCAGTGCAAACAGACGGAACATTAGCTTATTCCTTTTTACGATTTCTCTGCCTTCATGTTAACAGGCTCTCTGAAGGGAGGTGAGACAAAAATGTGTGATCCAGGAGGTCAGAAAATCGAGACCATCCTGGCTAACACGGTGAAACCCCGTCTCTACTAAAACTACAAAAAATTAGCCGGGTGAGGTGACGGGCGCCTGTAGTCCCAGCTACTCGGGAGGCTGAGGCAGGAGAATGGCGTAAACCCGGGAAGCAGAGCTTGCAGTGAGCTGAGATCGCGCCACTGCACTTCAGCCTGGGCAACAGAGCGAGACTCTGTCTCAAAAAAAAAAAAAGAAAAACAAACAAACAAACAAACTGTGATCCAATTTTGTTGCTCTGAACCGAATCTCTTTAAATTTTATTTAAAACTATAGAGGCTGTATAGCCTCCCTCCCATTCCAGTCCAACACCAGCCTTTGCATGGGCTCTTTCTACTATCAGTTTTAAATAGAGAACGTTCTTGTTCTGTTCATGAAGGTTTCATAAATGCTGGAGTTCAGTCATAACTAGAACTTTACATATCCGTTCCATCACTGTATTTTTCCAGATCCCTGGTAAATCCATACCTCGGGTCTGGTGGGGCGCATGCAATTCCATACTTTGTCACAGGGGGCGCTGCGGAGAAGGGCAGAGCGGGGCGCGCGGTCCCAGAGAGCGCAGTCCAGGAGGGGGCGCGTCCGTGGGGCTGGGTCTGTGCGAGCCCTGCGCAACGTTGGGGGCGGGAACAACCCTGGCCCTGCGCCCGCGCGCTGCGGAGCCTCGTGATTGGAGGAGGCAACGGTCACTTGGCAGCGCCGTTGGGATTGGGGGAAGAGGGCCTCGGCTGGAGGTGACGCTGAGACAGCGAGGGTGAGTGGGGGCCGGCCGCTGCCGCACTTCGGGCGCTTATCCCTCATTTCTCTGTGGTGAATGGCGACGGGATGGAGCGCGAGGGGAGCGGCGGCAGCGGCGGGTCGGCCGGGCTCCTGCAGCAGATCCTGAGCCTGAAGGTTGTGCCGCGGGTGGGCAACGGGACCCTGTGCCCCAACTCTACTTCCCTCTGCTCCTTCCCAGGTACGGCCCGCCCCGCGCCTGCGCACTGCGCGCCCCGCCGTCGCCTCGGCAGGGCTGTGGGCGCCCCGAGTCTGGGCGGGGTCTCTGGTGCGCCGCCGACCCGCTGGGTGGGCGCTGTCCTCCTGGAGCTGGGTCCTGCTCCTTGTCCGGAGCCCCTTTCCCCGTCGCTTCCTCGCCAGTCCCTGAGGACGGGCCCCGGAGTCCCGCTGGGCGTGAGGTGCAGGGAACGGCCGCAGGTGGGCCCGGGACTGGAGGGCGCCCGGCCGCCACCCCAGCGTCTCAGGTTCAGAGCTGCACCCCACGAGCCCGGGAGGCGGTGGTTCCTGCCCTGCCTGGGTTGCCGCACGGCGCCCGGCCTCCTTCGAGGTGCCTCGGAGCGGCCCGACCCGGCCCGGCTGAGGGGTCAGAGTTCGCGCTCCCCTTGCCTTCGCTGATCGCTGACGCCTCGGGCCAAATCCACCCGCTCCGAGACCCGCTCCGCTTTCTAGGAATCTCTTTCCCAGACCTGGTGCCACCTGTTGCCGGTTCTCCCACTAAGCCTTCCAGATCTTTGGCACAGCTTCCTTTGAACTCTTCCTCCCCGCTGCGGCGTGAGGTGGGCCTGCTAGGAGGGTTGCTTAGATTTCTAACGCCTGGAAGAAGTCTTCGTGCGCGGAAAGCTGGAGGGAGGAGAGAGGACTTCACCTGAGAAGGAGGAGACAGGTTTTGAGGGGAGGCACAGTTATTTATGTAGACCTTGAAAGGCAAGAAGACTGGGACCCCTGGCCCTGGAAGGGGAGGTGGGGCTCCCAGTAGAGGGGACTGAGATCTCTCATAGACTATGAGGGACCAGAGCAGAGGGAAGGAGGACGAGATTGCAGCCTCTAGTTCCAAACAAGGCACCTGTGATTTCTTATCCCCTGGGCAGCGACTGCCAGGCGCCTTTCAGCGCACACCTGGGATTTGCGGTGTTATGTGCCCAGGGATTTTCCCAGAGGGATTGGGAAGTAGCGGGTAAGGTCATCAGGCAGGTTGGGGTCAGATGCAGATGTTCGCTTGTGGTATGCCTGAAATGAGAATCTGGCAGCTCACGTCATTTCAGAAGGTGCTGGGATCACTTTAGACAGTGATATCAAAAAATTGATGATATTCTGGGGACGCTGTGTGAAAAATGAAATGTTCTTGCAATCTGGAGGCACTACTGGGACCAGATTAATTTTTGTTTCCTTAATTTTCCCCTTTCCTGAAAAATTTCGAGCCTGCGGAACACTTGAGAGAACAGTACAACAAATACCCATGTACCCTTTACTTAGATGCAGTAATGTTTTGGTTTTTCGGGTTTCTCTTTCCATATATATCTAATCACATGTACTAAATATAACACTTAGATGTATGTCACATGTCCCATTTCATCTCTGGAGTTATTCAGTAGGAAGTTGCAGAAGTCATAACACTTACTTGATGCCTGGTAATCTTATCATATATCTTCTAAAAACCATTTTCTATCATCCACAAAACCATATCACATCCAAGAAATTGAACATGATAGAATAATGTTATCTAACGTATGGGCCTTGTTTAAATTTCCCCAATTGTCCACATAGATTTTTTTCCTTAAAAAAATATATATATATTCCATGATCTAAGGTTCACACATTACATTAAGTTGTCCCATCTCTTTAGTTTCATTTAGCTGAAGCTACTCCTTCCTTGTTTGAATTTTTTTGAGATGAACATTTTGGAAGAGTCCATGTGAATTGTTTTATAGACTGTTTTACAATCTAGGTTCATTAGATTTTCTTCATGATTAGATGTAGATTAAACATTTTTGGTCAGAAAGCCACCTACCTAGGTGATGTCCACTCACCAGTACATCAAATCAAGAGACATTGAATGTCAGCCCGGCGCGGTGGCTCACACCTGGAATCCCAGCACTTTGGGAGGCTGAGGCAGGCGTATTACCTGAGGTCAGGAGTTCAAGACCAGCCTTGACTCTACTAAAAATACAAAAATTAGGCGTAGCGATGTGTACCTGTAATCCCAGCTACTTGGGAGGCTGAGGCACGAGAATCTCCTGAACCTAGGAGGCAGAGGTTGCAGTGAGCCAAGATTGTGCCATTGCACTTCAGTCTGGGTGACAGAGCAAGACTTCGTCTCAACAAAAAAAGAGACATTTAACGTCAGTTTGTATCTTCATTGATAGTACTACTAAGTTTGATCATTTGGTGAAGATGGTGTCTATGAAAACTGTACTGTAAGGGTATCCGCATCCTCTCTTACTACTAAGTCTGCTTAACGGGAGTGGCATTCATTGTCCTGAATCTGGTGTATTGCTATTTTGGCCCCACAGAAAAGGTTACTTGCAGTTTATGCCAACTCATTATGGCAGAATCATTGTTCTGAAGTATTCTGACGTATTTATGTATATGCGGAAGCACTGAATTGATTTTTTCTTTATTACCTGTATTTACAGTTTAGCCATTTACCTAGGGAGGGTTAGGTAGACATCTAAATGACTAAATCGGCTGGTTGCGGTGGCTCACACCTGTAATCCCAGCACTTTGGGAGGCCAAAGCGGGCGGATCATCTGAGGTCAGGAGTTCGAGACTAACCTAGCCAACATGGTGACACCCCATCTCTACTAAAAATACAAAAATTTGCGGGGCGTGGTGGTGCATACCTGTAATTCTAGCTACTCGGGAGGCTGAGGCAGGAGAATAGCTTGAACCTGAGAGGGGAAGATTGCAGTGAGCCAACATCATGCCACTGCACTCCAACCTGGGCTACAGAGTGAGACTCTGTTTCAAAAATAAATAATTATAAGTAAATGGCTAAACTACAAATGCAGTTAAAATTTTTTCCTTTACTGTTGTCATTTTTAACAAACCTCAAAACCGAGAAACTGAGATCTTTATCTTGTATCAGGAATGACATTCATCTTCGGAAGATACAGATTTCACTAAATCAGTGTCAAATTAGATCTTATTAAAATAATTAAAAACCCAGTAATGTTTTTGTGTTGTCCTTGCAGAAGTCAAGACTGGTCACACTTGAACCAGTCATTTATTCATTCACTCAAAAAATATTTGCTTCGTGTTAATTGTGTGCCTGTTGTTTTCTAGGCACCAAGTCAAGATGCCATAGTAACAAAACAAAGCCCCTTCCCATGTGGAACTTTCATTCAAATGGGGAGAGAGAAAACAAACAAAACAGCTGGTGGTGAGGGGCCTAGGAAGGGGACAGGGCCTGTGTGGCTCAGGTGGAATGCTGTTTGCTGTAAAGTGATGGGGAGGCCCTGGATGGTGATGATACTGGAGTCAAAATCTGAAGAAAGTGAGTAGTGAGCTAATGAGCCAACAGCTACTGGAGGAAGAGTAAGTGTTCTAGGCTAGGGAGCAGCAGATTCAGAGGCCCTGGAACAGGAGCTTGCAGAAGAAACACTGAGGAGCCCAGGGTGCCTGGAGGGACTATGTGGGCAAGGTGGAGAGTAGGAGGGGAGGGCAGATCCTGGAGGGCCCTACTGGGGAGTTTGGAGCAGAGATGGGATGATACTGACTTTTTAAAAAAGTGTACAATCCAGTGGTTTTTAGTATATTTACAGAGTTATACAACTATCACAATTAGTTTGAGAATATTTGCGTCATCTTGAGAAGAAACCTTCTTTGTACAAAGAAGAAACTTAGGAAATAATGGCTTTGCATGGAGAATAGATATAAGGCCCCATCAGGACGGACAAGGTCTGGTCAGGCTAGGACTGAGGTGAGGCAGGCCAGGGGCACACCCAAGAACCAGGGAGGAGCAGACAGGCAGTATCCAGAGACAGGTGGTTGACTACAGTTGGTAGTTCAGTGGGCACGTCCTCTTGTTAGGAAGGAGTGGAGGGGACAGTTGGACGTCCAGGCAGGGAGGTGGGATTTGGCAAGAGAGGAGCCTCCCAGTGCACAACGTGCAGAGCTGTAGGCTGATGGGTGATTAGTATCAAGATAGCCTAACTTTAGCTTGGAGTTGCAGGACTACATAGACTCTTTTTTTTTTTTTTTTTTTTTTGAGACAGAGTTCAGCTCTGTCGCCTAGGCTGGAGTGCAATGGTGTGATCTTGGCCTACTACAATCTGCCTTGCAGGATCAAGTGATTCTCCTGCCTCAGCCTCTCGAGTAGCTGGGATTACAGGCCAGCGCCACCACACCCAGCCAATTTTTGTACTTGTAGCAGAGACGGGGTTTCTCCATGTTGGCCAGCCTGGTCTTGAACTCCTGACCTCAGATGGTCCACCTACCTCGGCCTCCTAAAGTGCTGGGATTACAGGCGTGAGCCACTGAGCCCTGCCCAGACTGCATAAGACTCTTAATCCCGAGGAGGACTCATGTGGTCTGCTTAGAACCCCAGAGGAACTGGCTGTGTTGACCCAGTTGTTCACTGGAACACAAGATGAGAGTGGGGCCAGCTGGAAGGAGGGCTGAGTGCTGAGCCTCAGGCTGCCCACTTGGCTCAGGTTCTTTCCATTGCTGCCATTTGGGGCCAGGTTGGTCAGGAGGCCTTGGTTGGAAGTTAGGTGACTCTGCTGTGAAGGTTAGAGGCCAGGGAGCCAGCCATTATAGACCCCTTTTGTTAATACAGAGTCCACTAGAGGATTCTGCTGTTTGTTCTCTTTCACTGCAATATCTCTCTGAATATCTATCTTAAAGATATGTCTGTCTAGGCCGGGCACAGTGACTCACGCCTGTAATCACAGCACTTTAGGAGGCCAAGGCGGGTGAATCACCTGAGGTCAGGAGTTCAAGACCAGCCTGGCCAATATGGTGAAACCCCATCTCTACTAAAAATGCAAAAATTAGCTGGGCGTGGTGGCGCGCACCTGTAGTCCCAGCTACTTGGGAGGCTGAGGCAGAATAATCGCTTGAACCCAGGAGGCGGAGGTTGCAGTGAGCTGATACCATGCCACTGCACTCTAGTCTGGACAAGAGAGTGAGACTCCATCTCAAAAAAAAAAAAAAAAGATATATCTGTCTAAAAATATATCCTCAAGGAAATCCTCAAATATCTTTTAGGGTAGGGATCTTAGTCTTTTTACTGATATGTCAGCATATAGAATAAGGTCAGTATATATTCGACTGATCAGCGATTAACTTCTTAGTGTTTTTATGACTCTGCTATTGCTACTGTGATTAATTCCACAAATTTAGCAGCTTAAAGCCATACCGATTTTATTGTCTTACAATTATGAAGGTCAGAAGTCCAAATTGGGTGCGTGTGGACTAAAACCAAGGTTTAGCAGGGCTGTGTTCTTTCTGGAGCTTTTAGTAAAAATTTCTTTTCTTGCCTTTTCCAGCGTCTAGAGGCCACCTACATTCCCTGATGCTTGGCCTCCTCCTCTTCTTCATAGCCAGCAGCATAACATCTTCAAATCTCTCTGACTCTCATCTCCTACCTCCCTCTTACAAAGATCCTGTGATTACATTAGACCTAACTGGAAAATCCAAGACAATCTCCTTTTGCAAGATCCTTACTTTAGTCACCACAATGTCCGTTTACCTATGAAAGGTAATCTGTTCACAGGTTTTGGAGATGGGAATGCGAACACCTTTGGGAGCCCATTCTACCACAATGCTTAATCTC